AGGTAATTGAATTGGTTGGGTTAAAAAAATTAGCCTTAAAAAAAAAAAAAAAAAAAAAAAAAAAAAAGAAAAAGAAAAGAAAAGAAACAAGGACACAGTTGCGGTCGCGGAGATTCGTTCTCATTTGGGGCATTTCGAAAGTATGGCTGTGGATCTTTCCATGTTCTAGCGGGGGATTCATTCTCATTTTGGAAAGTGAGGCCTGTTGGTGACTTGGAGTCTGTGGTTGTTGCTTTTGTCGTTTTCCGCATCTGACTTGGAGTCTGTGGTTGTTGCTTTTGTCGTTTTCCGTTTCTGACTTGGAGCCTGTGGTTGTTGCTTTTGTCGTTTTCCGCGTCTGGCGGAGGATTCGTTCTCATTTATGGCTGTGTATTTTTCCATGTTCAAGCGGAGGATTCATTCTCGTTTTGGAAAACGTGCCGATTCTCTCTATTTTTTTGGGTTGTGTTCATGCTCACTCCGTGACCCTGCACATGCACAAAAGACAAAAAATATGGTGGTGTATCTTTCCAAATTTTCCATGTTCTCATTTTGCACTTTTGGAGAGTGGCGGAGTGAGGCCTGCTGGTGATTTGGACTCTCGGGTTGTCTTTTTTGTCATTTCCCCATCTACCGGAGGATTCGTTGTCATTTTGGACATTTGGAAACAGTGCCAGTTCTTTTTTTTTTTTTTTTTTTTTTTTTTTTTTTTTTTTTTTTGGATTGATTGCAGTGTAGCCAAAGATCGGGGCCGGGGTCCCCACAATTCAACCCAGGATGGTAACCTCTGGCAGCATTAGCCAGCTTCGCTTTTTACGGCACCTTTAGGAACCGAAAAACCATCAGAATAGAGATATCCCGGCAGCCTTATCTGTAGCTGTTACAATACTAGTTTATTCCGTCCTGTTTTTACAGGGCCCAGGATAACGGCTAAGGTCAATGCTGTTCAACTGGGATCAATGGGTAACTCTGAATACTCTTAACTGACTCACAAATTCTTAACTTGTACTAAAAAAAAAAAAACATTCTATGCTACTCAGACTACTACTATCTAATCCACAGGCCTACAGACTGTTCGGCCTGTCCTCGGTCTAAAATCACCGAGAGGAAAGAAGTTCCTTCACTACAGTCTTGGGCCCTCTCCATCCCATCCTCCATTCGTAGCCTACCTCGACTACCGACAGGAACCGAGTGCCCTGGTTCAGCGTCTTCCTAATTTAGTTCTACACTAATGCGACTCTAGACTATCATGAGGACTTGCAGATTAGAGGACAGACGGTGGAGAATAGTAAAATGAGAAGGTTATAGAAGGAAGAGTATTGGAAAGGGAGGAAAAGGGAAGGATGAGGAGCGGGGGAAGGTGCTCAGAAAGGAGCGGGTAGGAGGGAAGTGCTATCATGCAGTGTGAGGATTCAGCTCTGCAACCAAGGCGTAATTGCCAGGTGCCCGTCGAGGGTGACTGCAGCAAGTTTGTTGTCTCTTGCCCACGTGACCAAAAACCAATGCCTGCCTCTTCGCGTCCTGCCTCTTGCGGCCTTCCTAATCCAGTCTACCCTGATCATCGTGCGAATCCAAGTCTTCAGCTTCTGGATGAGCGTGGCATCACTAGACAGTTCTCTTTTTTTTGGGGGGGGTGTTTTCACGCTCTCTCCGCGACTCTGCACATGCACAACAAAAAATATGGTGGTGTGTCTTCCCATGTTCTAGTGGAGATTCATTCTCATTTTCGGCATTTTGGGAGTAGTGGGTGTGACTGGGGGGGAGGGAGGGGCGGGTGCCTGCCGCCGCGAGTGTAGCCGCGGCAGGTATGCAATTGTAGTGGGGTGGCCCTAGGATTAAAGGGCCATCATGTTGGCCCAGAGAATGAGGGTTGTGGGTTTAAGGCCTATTCATTTAGGCTGGGGAGAAATGCGGTTCTCTGGGCCATCTGGACCTAAAGTCGCACTCATTAGTGCGAGGATGTGATGATAACAGGACATAGGGCCTTGCTGCACTACTCTCCACATCCACAAAAGACAACAAATATGGTGGTTCATCTTTCATGTTCTAGCAGAAGATTCATTCTCATTTTGCACATTTGGAGAGTAGGGCAGTGAGGCCCATAGTCTTTGATACAACCAAACTGTTAAACCACCAGTACACCCAGGCCTGGAGGCACTGCAGTGCGTGCCAAGCTTTTCCGAACTGCCAGTGGCACTTTTTTTTCTTTTTTTTTAAGGTTGTGAGGGGTGCCGTGGACAATGCCAATGGAGGATGTTTGGCAGGCGGCTGGACGCACCGAGTTTACCCCACCTTGCCAGCGCAGTGAACCCACCCGCACCCATATAGTCCTCAAGCCAGAGCTCTCAACCTCCACATACAGATGGGGGGTATCGAGCAAGATCAGCGCTGCTTGATCGCTGGTAAGGGGCACACCGCACTCGAACTCAGGCTTTCTGGGAGGCAATTCACGCACCACTGTCCCCTGCTACCAGAGGGACTTGGCATAGCACCTGCTAGGAGGGTAGTGTGCCCTAGCCTCCCTCCTCCCCAGACCAAGCCCCCCATGAACCCGCACAACTCAAGGGGGGCGTACTAGTGGCCATGTCGGTTGATGCCCTCTGGCCTGTCAAACACCCGCCGACCAAGTGCGCAGGGTTGAGGGTTCAAAAATTTGAACCCACAACCTCAGACCACCATGCACATTTGGAACCGGTGCTCTACCCACTGAGCTGGCACCGCCAGCCATCGTGGTCCGGTAGGCTCGAGCTGCAGAATTTCCGGAGTAGGCGACAAACAAATTTCTGCAAGGCTGGGACCGTGTACTGGTGCTTTAGACAAACGAGTGCATCTGAGGCTAAATGTAGGTGCCAAAATTTGAATTTTTCTGAGCCTGACAGCCATGGGTAATTGAGGCGGTACTGGTACCAGCCTCTGTGAAACCCCCATGCTGGACCTCCTGCCAGCAGATGGAAAGAAAAGGAGGCCACCCCAGCCAAACTCTCTACAAAGCCTTGCGATCAAATTCGTTAAGGTCTGGCCGCAATTGCAATTGCAGTCAGATGCGAGTAGGCCCAGACCTGGATGAATCTCACCGCAATCATGACCAGAGGTTTGTAGGAAATGCCGCAAATGTCATTCCCAGTTTTATTTCGGGAGAAGTTATTGAATACCCCCTCGGCAAAACCTTTGTACTCGTTCACCCCCAAGCAAGGTAAAAAGTCTTGGAGGCCCTCCAAGGAAACTGCACATCATTTTTGCACCCTGGCACATCCGGAACTTTCTCGCCATTTTTGCACCACGGGCGTTACCGGCCCAGCCAGGGTGCAAAAATGACGTGCAGGTTCCTTTGAGGGCCTCCAAGACTTTTTGCCCCGAATGTTTTGCAGTGGGGGTATTCAATAACTTTTCCCATTCTTTCCTCCCCCCTCCAACCGTGAGAGGCAGGATCCTGCCAACACTGAGTGGACATTATGTCCCGAACGGTTCCTCTACCCGCCACTTACCTTTTTTTCCGTCCTCGTGTCTGTTCCTAGTGTTGGCCGTGCATGTGTTTCCACATGCCACGGAATGAACCAGCAGGACTACTTGCAGTCCATTTTTCTTTTTCGTTGGGCCCACCCGCTTCCACCCCCTTCGCTTTACAAGGCCTTCCCCGAGCCCCGGAATTTTCGGAGAGGCTCAGTTGTGATTCTCAAGTTGGCTGTGGCTATGTACTGGTGGTTTAAACAAACCAAATTGAAGGGCATCACTAATGATAAAAAAAAGGGTGAAGGGCATTACTATTAAACCACCAGTACCTCGCCCAGCTAATTTTCTCCGGCACGGCCGTTAACGTGCTGCGTCGGACGGAGTTCGCAGCAGTGACCAACCGGTCGCTGCATTTCATCTGTAAAAAGGCGCAGACAGAGAAAAAAAAAACCTACTTCACGTACTGCTATGATGTCAAGGAACATTGGCACAGAGACCAACAATGTTTGGTAGTCAGTTCCCACTTCATTCGTAACCACCAGGCTGCACGAGTCAGAGCAGCCAGCACTACTCAGCGTCAGAGTAGCAGAGTAGCGCTGTAGACGTAAAGAGGAGGGATGAGGTGATGGTGGAGGATTCGACTCCCCTGGCGCCATATCCTGGACGTCTGCTGGTGGCCAAAGCAGACCTTCTTCTTCAGCACACCTGCAGTGCATCAGCGGCTCAAGGATCTGCCATTCACTGGTCAGTACCATCTCCTTGTGTGTGTGTGTGTGTGTGTGTGTGTGTGTGTGTGTGTGTGTGTGTGTGTGTGTGTGTGTGTGWGAGAGAGAGAGAGAGAGAGAGAGAGAGAGAGAGAGAGAGAGAGAGAGAGAGAGAGAGAGACTTGTCATTGGTACTTCGGGAGCCAGGCTCTCTGACTCGAGATCTGAAATTCATTGTTGGGGGCGTTCAGGAGGTTGGAGGGAGAGTGAGGTGGACGAGAGAATTTTATTATTCGGCGCTGACATACATTTGGGACTTCTTCTTCTTCTTCTTCTTCTTCTTCTTCTTCCATCTCCCTTCCCATGCTTCATCTATCTATGATTGCAGCGGGCGGTGTCTTCTATGTGTGGACCCTTCTTGCTGGGCATGAGCTTGGAGTTGACTCATATTGTCATTTCTGCTGCATCCGATCGGTCAGTCATATCTGAAAAATTGAGTCTTCCACTGTGTCATATTGCATGGGGTAAGACTATGCCTTCACCATATTCACTACTAACAGTCCCAACAGTGAGCAGTCCCAACAATACACCATACCCCAGTGAGCAGTCCCAACAATACACCATACCCGTCCCACAGCACACCTATATACCAGTTCCGAGCATTCCGAGCCTGGTATACCAGTCCCCGTCCCAGGAACTCACCTGTATACCAGTCCCAAGAGCGACAAACGCTTGCTGGTTGATGTACAGCAGATAGTTGCACAGAGTTATTGCATGTTCTTCGTTATCCCCTGCGCAGAGGTCGAAGAAGTCTCTGCACGTCATCCACACGTCCTGCAGAATTCGCCAGCAGTTGCAGAGACCATGCATAGAATAAAAAGTTTATAAATGTATAAAGTAGTATCATAAACGTTTAGAAGAAAGAATGCAAAGAAAACAAAAGAAGAAAAAGAAAGAAAAAGAAACCCATCATCAACAAGGGCTTGAGGAAATCGGTTAAAATTGGAACGATATAGTGAAGTTAGAGAAGCATGGCGGCTGCGCAAAGATGACAAGTTCTCCAAAGGATTTTTTTTTTTTGTTTTGTTTTTATTTTTTCAGAAGGCCCTTGTGCAAAGCCACTATCCCAGTGGTGGTAAGAGAACCACCGGAATTGAGACTTTGCCTAGTGGGCCGCTCCATCTATTGGTGGGGAGCCTCACCTGCTGGAAACCGGGTCCAGCGTCCCACAAATACATCTTTGAGTACATCAGTTCATGTGTGTCGTCATTGGAAGCATAGGGACCTGCCAGCATTGATTGCCCTGAAATTCACGGGATTGACTGCTCGGGGTCTGTATCTTAATGTGAACAGTAGACGTCGATGGCCTGGGAGAACCCAAAAAACAACAGACAAAAACACAAGATGCCATCTGGGGTCCGGGGGGCACGGGGCCTCATGGCTGTCTCCCAGCCTTCCGGCCGTCAGCTGTTGCCGATGACTGCACTGTCTGAACACGTGTTTGGAAAAAAGCTTAGACTCACCCACCTGCCAGCATTGATTGCCCTGAGACTCAGGGGATTGACTGCGCAGGGGCTGTACCGGAAAACACAACAGACACAAAACAACAGACAAAGACACAAAATGCCATCTTGGGTCCGGGAGGAACTGGGCCTCATGGCTGTCTCCCTGCCTTCCGGCCGTCAGCTGTTGCCGATGGCTGCACTGTCCGAGCTCATATTTGGAAAAATTTAGGCTCGCCCGAACAAGAATTGCTGACGTGCGAATGAAAAAGGGACTCCGATGGCACTTCAGCCGTCCCACGGGCATTCTTCCAGGGATAGTGGATGGGGGGGAAAGGGGTCATTGAAATCATGGGCCGGTCGTAACGGTTCCGTCGGATCCACCTTTGTCCACTCATGGAAATGCAGTGAGTAGTCCGTTTAAGAAAAAAGAAAGCCATTACTATGCAAAACGAGTGCCATGCTGGCAAATACAAAACCGGGTCCAGCATCCCATGATATATGAAAGACTCAGAATGCTGACATGTGCCATAGCGGGAGACTGTATCTAAAGTGCCCAGTCCTACCTCTCTCAATCGTCGTGTCCTGGTACCTAGGCTTAAGAGAGTTATGAAGTCATAAAAATGAGATGTAATGAGTGATTGTTGCAAAAAAGGTGATACCTGGTAAGAAATCAGTCCATCAAAAGCCTGTGTGTGATAACTTATGGTGCAGTTCTTTCGTGCCTTGTTGGTGATGTTGGAGGGTAGGCAGGGAGGTCTTCCTTCTCTTATCACCACTGTGGAGCACTTGCAGCATTGCACCCACTACAACAGAAACCGAGACTCCAATGAAATCCTATAAAAGACGTCTTATGGGCAGAACAAAATAAAGATTGGAGCCAACTGCCAGGGCTCCCCGACCCCGGCGGCACTCTTACCACCCTGGGCCGGCAGGATGTTTTGGAATAAATAAATAAATAAATAACTAAAGGCCAGGTACAATCCTTGCAATACCCCGCTCAATATGCGGGGTATTATGACCTGAGGTGGCCTCAGGGCCACAAATAGGGCGCGACCCCTGTCTGAGGCCGCAGGGGCCAAGGGGGAGGAAAACCCCAAGTAGGCTCAGCGCCTGTGCGCCCGACAGTTGACCATGGTCAACTGCCCAGCGGCCCAAGAGTCAAAGTCTGCATGCACCCAGCCCAGGCCGCCGGTCAGACACACACACTTGTTTGTATTCAGGTACCAGGACAGAATCAGGACCAAGTGGAAGTCTGCAACTGTACGCAATCCAGGCCCTCGGCTGTGAGTCAATCTGAGCCACCGTGGGTGGGAGACCTGAGGCTGGTCAGCCTCATCAAACATTACATAAGGCCGCCTCCAGGGAGTCAACATTCAGTCTTGCTATGCTGCCTTGACGCTGGCTTGACGCGAGCTGGATGCTGGCTTGACGCTGGCTTGATGCTGGCTGTACGCTGGCACTGTGGACGACACGAGACTGCTGCTGCGCACTGGCGTCTTTCTGCTTTGGCGCCAGCCTATGCTGACATGGCACAGGGCCACGCTGTCTTGAGCATTGCTGATGTGGCGCAAGCCACTCTGTTATGAACTTGGTTGTCTGACAATTCGGTTGCCACTCTCACTCAGGAGAACTCACACACGCCCATACATGCATGAGACAAAGGGGAGAAGGAGACAGGGTCCAACTGCACACTGATCAGAGATAAACAGCGGAATAGCAATTATGCACAGAAGGGGAGAATACACTCAGTGTTTCTCTCTCCCTGATACACTCCCAACAACCAATCACAATTGACACTGCGAAGATCACAATTAGAAAGTAACCCAAATGATGAGCCAACTCAACTCATTTAACCCCAATTATCGTAACAGAGTTCAACCCAGTATCTCGCCACCCCAGGGCCACACACTCCACTCACTACGACACTCTCAGAGTCTAGCGCTGCACTGAAACAGCCTCCCAGAGGCCAGCGCCACACACCCAGATGCAGATCATGAACAGCGAAGTAGCCCTCAGTGCCGATGAGTCACTCTGACGATGAAGAAGGCAGCTATGGCTGCCAGCCTGCTGCCGCAGCAGCAATACCCCACATGTACTTGGTGAAGACCCTCCGATAGTCCTGCCCTAATGCAGATATCCCCTGGGGATAGATGCGCTGAGTACAGCCCCAGCTATGGCTGTCTCAGGTAGGCCGGCTATGGCTGCTTCACGCAGCTGATGTCGCAGGTGCCGCTGTAGACATTCAGCGCCGCTCAACTTGGTTGGCCACGAACGCAGACATGCGAAAAAAAAAGCCCCCCCCAGAAATACCTACTCCATTCCCGTACTTATAGACTTCCTATACTAGCCTAGACCTAGACCGGACTGACTGGACCTACCGGTACCGTTGCTGTTTCGGCCTCTCGGCCTCTACCGTACCCGGCTATAGGCTATAGGAGTGTAGGCCACTTAGGGCCTGTCTGTCCTAGGGGTAGCCCGGGCCTGCTATAGGCAGTTAGGGTAGCTGTAGGAACTCGGTTAGTACCAGGTCTGTATTTTCCTCAAAATTACAGATCTGTCCCTCACGAATATCCACACAGGCGGTTCTCTCGGTTAGCCCTCAGCCAAACAAAATTGCAAAACTAACAGCCTCGCAGACAATCTCGGCAGCAGAAATCAGCAAGTCATTGCAACTCTGTCTTCATTGCTGACGTGGCATTTGCCACATTGTCTACATTGCTGAGTTGGACACGACAAGGAGGGAGATCGGGATCTGTGGAGGATTGAGAGGGAACGTGATACTTACCTGCGGCGGATGTCGATTACTGTGTGCTGCTGATTGTCTCCAACGTCTTCACAAGAGAACTGTGCCACGTGGCACTTCAATGTGATCAGGATCTGTCAGGCTCGTTACTGGATACTGTTTTGCTGACGTGGAGGAGAGGGGAAGCCCGGAGAAGGAGTGGGAAATGTTGGGCTACTCTCTTTGTGGTCATTGATGGTTACTATCTCTTACACCTTCTATTCCATCTATTCCCCCTCCACTCTCTTCGTCTAACTGGAAACGAGACATTGTATCAGAGATCACATTTATGATTATTGGAGACATTGTTAAGAGTTGAGTTACTTTGTATTTCGACATCTAGCGAGTATCTTACAGACTGGGTTCATTACAATTTGGTATCGGAGCATACCTTTTTCGTCGTGATCTGCTGTCAGGCGCCACGTGGCACCCAGGTAAGTGGGAGGTGCCGCGTGTGATAGAAGAGAAGCGCATTTGTTAACGCGCGTGATTATTCTCGTGAGTCTAGACATTGACTTCCACGCGCGCGCGCACGCTCCCTTGAAGATGATGACGTGGACACCGTGAAGACGGCTACATTGCTTACGTGGCGCTTTGTTGCTGACTTGGCAAGATACCGGCGAGAGCTTCGTTGGCTGCAGGCTGACGTGGCGCTGGTGAGAGAGAGAGTGGATATCGAGGCTGCTTATGTGGCGTTCTGCCTACGTGGCATAGCGCAAGGGTGCTGACGTGGCATCCTAGGATTGTCAGGGCATTGTCTGATGTGGCACGTACCTGTGTCGTGACTTACCTGCTGACTTGGCGCTTCACACTTCAAGGGTACTACTTCAATTTGACATGGCATACCAGTGGTGGATGAGTTGGCAGTTCGGGCATTGCTGATGTGTCATCCGACCAGAAGGCCGTGCTGGCTCTTGACGCTGATGTGGCACATGTGCTGCGTTAGCATTCCAGGTGTGACACGTGGCATGCTTTGCACGCTATCGTGGGCGAGGTGTTGATACTTGCACTTGTGTGCTGGCAGGCGGTACAGCTTCACGATTGTTGTAGTGCCCGTGCCAGCCCTTGTGTCTGGCTGCATTGGTTTTGCAGATGGTACAGCCGTAGAGGAAAGAATGCTGACAATTAATTGTCATTGATTGTGTCAACTGACTTACTCACTTGCCTGGCTTTTCTGTGGTTGCCGTGCATACTCACCTGTGTTGTTGTGTCTTGATCACACTGGTTGTGGCTGCGGTACCTGTGCACTCGCGTTAGGACGTCATCATACATAGGACAGACAACAACAGTTAGAAATAGACAATAAATCTGTTTCTTGAACTTTCTTCTTAATTTTCTGTTATTTACTTCTTGTTGTAGGAGATTGCAACTGAGTGTGGCCGTGGAATTTATTATTGTCTTTTAATTATTTATTGTGCAGCATTTACATGCTGGATAACATGACTTATCTTTGGAAATGTTTGCGTGCCTCCATTCTCACAAGATATATTCCTCTCTTCTTTTTCCCTATCCCTCTCACTGTCTATGATGATGCAGAAAGGGGGGAA